TTACAGAACAGATGGAGCCAGGCTGTGCTGAGAGGCTCAGTTTGAGGATGAGCAACTGCAGCAAGTTTTAACTAAGGAATTATACCTGGACAAATGAGAAAAAAACATTCACTGTTCGGTGGTGAATTGCAGGAATTAATTGCCCAACTCTGTCCTTTGTAAGGCCCCTAAGTTTGATTAGACAAGGCCCTGAGCAACTTGGTCTAACTTGGACGTTAGCCCTGCTTTGAGCAGGAGATTGGGCCAGAGACCTTTGGAGATCTTTTCCAAACTTGATTTCTCTGTGGTTCTATCTGAACAATATAAAAAACAGCAATTTTTCCTTGGCTTTTTAAATACTATTGAATCAAAAGTGAGCCAAGAATGTGCACTGTACTATCTTACTACAGTGGCTTGAGCTTCAAAGTGTGCATCTCTTCTCCCAGAAGTATAAATAAAATAGTTGTCTGTGAGGAGAATTTTTAGTGAAGTGATGGGAGAAGACCAGCTGGAGGTGTGTGATAGGTAGGTAAGAGGTAGAAAAGGGATTTGTTTCAAATCTCCGTTCCATGGAAGGGAGGCCATATCTACAGGTATGGTGATTTCCATGGGTTTTTGTTCATGCAGTGATGAAAATGAGAGGAGAAGGAAGTAAAAGCCATGGTGTTTTCTTGTAGGCAGAATTACAAGTGTATAATTAGTTTTTCCCTGTATAATTAGCTTTTCCCTGTAGTACAGACGGAACTGCTATGGGGAAGTGAGAAAATATTAGCAATACAGATGTGACAAAACTACACTTTGCACTTTTTCCCACAAGACACTTCTTTAGCATCCTACAAAGTTGCTAAAGTCTTAGAGGCAGTGCCTGGATCAGCACATTTCTGTTTTGCTGGATGCTATAGAGGTAGTAGGAATTTGCTAGGGAATAGTTTGAAATTATTTGATGCTCCTTGTCTGATTTCTACTAGTCAACCTAGAATGAACTTTTCAAACAGAATACTTAGATTCACGATTGGCAGTTTGGTTGTGACACCTCTGCTGCAGTTTCCTAGATTGAACACTGTCCTCCTTTGTGATGCTCTGTAGAAAGCAAAGGGCAAGTACTTGTCATTAATACATGTACAAAATTATTCAAGTGTGGATGCTGTGAATACTTGTTTGAAATACCTAAAATACAATGCTGGCATGTCAGCTAAATAGTGCCTAGTGGTTTTCATCACTTAGATACCTAGGACACTTTTAATTGTATAAATGTTTAAACATGGATATTCTGTAAACATTTGGTTTTGGGAAACAGTTGGATCATCTTGGTGGCTCTGTTTGATTTCCTATTCCAAATGACATCACCCTATAAAGAAAGAACAGTAGTTAGTTGAATAGATGAGCTGTAGAGTGACAGCTTGCAAAAGTGCTCTTTTTTGCTTCCCTTTTTTTTATTTTAAAGTGGGTTGTAGAGATGAGTTTCTTCTGTAGCAACTGTCCTGTGGTAGCACATCATGAAACTATTGTAAACAGTTTGAACAGTGAGTAAAAGCGAATTCAATTTGCTGTACACTAACTGTTTGATTAGGTCTCTCCTCCTGGGTGTACTTTTGCTCATTGTATAACTAAAGAATGTGCCAAAACCAACTTGATTCTGATCAATTAGGACATTTTTCTCACTTTAACTTTGAAACTGAATTAATACATTTATGTTAATACAGTTTATTGAGAAAATCTGTTGTTTAATATACACTCTTTATTCTGCTTTTTTGGCTGAATTCCAGTGATTAAAAAATACACTTCTATTAAAAAAACCCTCTGTTTACAAATATGAATCAATTGGCAGCTGTGGTCTTTTGATAATAGCCAGGTGTTTGTATGGGCTAACCAGATAGTGATTTGTATGTATATCCTTTCAAGCTCAGGGTGTGAATTGTTGCAAACTGCAACAGTAACACTTGTTAGGTGTTACTGACTCTTAAGTTCCAAATTTGTTTGGCACATTTATAACCTATACAGTACCTTTGATTAGACAAAGCTCCTGTTTTGGGGGTTGTTTTTTTATTTTTGTCCGAACTGAGCAACATTTGAGAGCACCATGTCTCTACTGTACTTTGAAATCTGTGCTTTCCTCTTATCTGAGTAAGCTGCCCTTACCTTTTTTGCAAAAGATGCCCACAGGGCAGGTGATGCCTTAAGGTAGTGAAATAGCTAAGAAGGGAGATGTCTTAATATGCATAATTACATGGAATATTGGGGGAATTGTCAAGTATACACTTTATGTGTTTCTGTATTTCTGGTACTTGTGACCATCTGCCTCCTCCCTGTCCTTACCCCACCCTGACACGATAGAACCCTTGTTGCTCATCATGATGTACTGAGATTTTTTACTGGGAAATAAGAAATATAATCAGTGAATGAGCATCTACAGCTATATCCAGTTGTTCCTGCCTTTGTCTCAAGTTGAAATAAGTTTAGTCTGAAAAGCATGAAGTTAAATGGTATGGTACAGATATGGAATAGCCTCATAAAATGTATAGAACAGGTAACTAAAATTTAAACTTGTCTTTAAGACAAACAGATGTTGTTCACTTTCTCACAGGGATTTTTATTTCTATTTAGCAAAAATGATGCCTCTGGCTACCCTCTTTGCATACTCTTGAGGAGTAGTGTTGTCATGAGACCTGATGAACTGTAATGTTTAGAAAATAATTTTTATTAGCCAAACTGCTAAGACCTCTTTGAATTGTCACTAAGCAATATAGGCAAAAAAATACTTTCTACTGGAAAAAGCAAAGAAATTAGTTGTTACTGAATATATTAAAAAATAAAGCAAAAGCAACCCAGAATTTAGTCCATTTAACTTCCTTGCTGAAATGCATGTGCAGTTTTTTGGCATAGATTCTGTTCCTAATTTAGTACGTTGAGCATGTTTCAGAAATAGGTCGTCTGTTAAATTCGGGCATGGTCCATACTGAGAGTAAGACTGAGAGAAAGGGAAGGTCATTGTTGGTTCTTTCTCCTTTTTCCTGATCCATGGGTGTGTATTGTAGGAAAAAAAGAACCACTGTGGTGCATGGGGCAAGAAATGTAGTGAAAATCAAATGCTGTCTTTGTTCTAGAAATATCCTTGGAATAATTTTAAGAAATAAAAGGCAAAATACATGAGAGTTAGTGTTTTTAAGGCTACTCCACAGCTGAGTGTGCCTTCCAATTCTTATATCACTTTTATGTTTAATATATTCTTCCGTAGAAATTATTCCAGCATTAATTATTTGGTTTTGTTCCCCCTCACCCCCCCACCTCACTGGGCAGAAAAATTGTAATTAGCAACCAAGTATAATCAGTCTCATGTTGTTTCCTGCAAGGTTGTGTCTGACATCAGAAAATTTAGTTGGTGACCTTTGGGGGAACATAGCAGATAGAGGACCAGTTCAGCAAAAATTAGTACAGTTTGGAAACTGGCCTCAACCTCTGCAGTAACTTAGTAGCAATTGTTGTCTGGCCCCTGGAGTGAAAGTTGCAGGAGAGGGATCCACCTGGAATGTTAGGATTGAAGACATGGAGAGTTGTACCATGTAGGTTTCAGTGCTTGACACCAAAGATCATAATGGACTTCACTGCTGGAGCTCTGGTGACCATTCTGTTGAATGTTACGGTTTATTTTAACTGTGTTCTGTTAAATGAGCTCTGCTGGAGTCTGGGAGGCTCTGACATGCTACAGCACTTGAAAGTCTACAAGTTTGAAACTGAAGCTGTGGCTGCCCCATCCCTGGAAGTGTTCCAGGCCAGGTTGGATGGGGCTTGGAGCAACCTGGTCTGGTGGGAGGTGTCCCTGCCAATGGCAAGGGATTGGAACTAGATGATCTTTAAGGTCTCTTCCAACCCATACTGTTCTATGGTTCCGTTATCACTTTTTTTTTATCATCTGTGTCTTGCTTCATAGCTACATTTCTTAGGCCTGTTCCAGCATGCTGTTGCTTCCTTTCTTTATAAAACTCGACCTACCTAGAATCACTTTTAAAAAAACCCTCACGTTTTTTGTGGTTTGTTTCTGGGTGTAGTGTCATTGGAAAATCTTTTTCATCATGTGAAAGAGGTGTGTAAATATAATTGTGGGTTTGGAGTGTAGTCTAACAGCTTAAGAAATAAGAAATAGTAAAGTTATTTGAATGGTATTTTTATAGATGCTGTTGTTGAGAGAAAATTAAGTTTCTTGTTTACTCAATCTGTTTATTTACTGAGAAGTTATAATCAGCGTGCTCTATTTAATTAACTTCTAAATACTATATACAGAGATGAAGAAAGGAAAATACTCCAAGGTGCATTCACTGTATTTTTTTTTTAATGTTTAAAACAATTACACATTGTTTCCCGTCAGTCTCTCAATTTGGACATGCAGTCTTTGGTAATATTTGAAAATAGGCAATTTATTGAAATCATCTCTTAAATTCAGCTCTGGAAAAAAGATACTTAAATGTAATACTACAACAGTAATGTACTCTGTAAATTATCAGAATTAGGATTTGCATGTGTTTAATTTGTTAAGTATTTTAAGATAAAAGAAACAATCTTTTAGTTAGACCAGTCTGTGAAACTTGGTAGACCTCAAATTGGCCAAAATTTATGCTCCTGATTGATTTTGTTATCATGGACCTCTGTGTTCATTTGCCAAAGCTATTATCTGGTGTCATAAATTAGTAGCCTTTAGTCTTCAAAATGGTCCTTCTTTTATGGATAGCTGCAAGATCAGGATGAACCTCAAGAAATCTGGAGAGACAAGCTGCCCTTGTCACAAAGAATTATGTTTGCTTATATTTCTTTGCAAATTGAAGTTGTTTACTTGAGGATTTTTTTCTGGTTGAATCTTTCTGTATGATCTGCAAAATGAAGGTGTTCACAGGGAATTACATAAGATACTGTACCTTTTTATTTTAAAATAAGATTAGGTGAAATGTGTAAGTTAAATGCAGAAAATGTTACGTTCTGTAAACAAGTGGTTTATGTTTGCCTTTTTTTTTTTTTTTTTTACCTTTCAGCTGTACTTTCAGGTTTCCCAGCACAAACATCAAGATAACATTCACAGCTCTGTCCAATGAAAAGAGAGAAAAACAGGAGGCCCCGGAGTCCCCAGTGAAGCCTGTGCAACCCCAGATCTCTCCCTTAACAATAAACATTCCAGACAACATGGCTCACCTGATCAGCCCTCTCCCTTCTCCCACAGGAACTATCAGGTATTTAAACCCTGCAGAGTGAATGTGGGACAATGTATGGTTACAGGCTTGAGACAACTTTCTAATTCGTTTTAAGTATTTTGCTTTTGTGTTAAAAGTTTAGATGAAGCTCAGCATTACCTGACTTGGAGAAAACCACCATTCTGATAATAAGATAGTTGCATGAACAGCATTTAATATTCAAATTTAACATGTTAAATGCGGAACAGTTTGCTCAGGAGCCTGGCATTCTTAGAGCAGCAAAGAGCCTCTCTTTTTCTTGCATTTCAGGTGGTTTAGATTTCTTTTTACTCTTGCATGCTTATGGCAACATTTTAAGTTAGAAAAGTCTAAATTACAGCATTTTTAAACATTCTGATTTTCATTGTCCCTCTGACGTTTATAATCAGTAAAAATGTTTTTAGGTTTTTATTGTTGTGGAAAACAGACTGATCTCTTACTCAAGGGGATTTGTTATTGATTAGCCATTGCTGGAAGCAAACAGGTATTTTACTTAAAAAACTGGCATAGGGAAATCTTCTGCAGAGGAGGTCAGTCTGGGTTTTTTACTTGCTCTGCTGCCTAATTTAGTACTTGTAACCATTGTCCAACTTGTTATTTGGGACCAAACTGAATTAAACGTAAGTGAGCTGTCCTCACAAACTGGTAAAATTAGTTTAGATACAATTTTTACAGTTCCTAGAAAGTTCAGGAGCAAAAAATGTTGTTTAAAGGCACTGAAAGTTGTGTTTGAAAGTCACATACATGTTTTTGAAAGATTTTTCCTCCCCTCTTCCTCCCTGTATCTTCACTTGGGCAAAGAATTGTTAAAAATGTAGATCTTAGTAATGTAATTTGAATGTAAGGATAATTGACTTCTTTCATGCTTGCCAAGATCTTGGAGATCAATATTGTGCTGTTTAATGAGATCTCTATAGATTGTGGAAGTAGAGAGAAAAGAGATCGAGACTTCACTGAATAAAACAGGTTTGCTTTCTTACTAAAATTCAGGGAAACCATATCTAGCCCAAGAAATGACAGAATAGCTCGTAAATACTTCAGATAATACCACATACATCACGACAGTTGTTGCCTCACTATGAGTTTTGTAATTCTCTTCAGGGCTTTCAGGCACCTGTTGAGTAGTTTATGACAAAGAAAAAAAAAGAAGAAAAAATATATGACAGTTTTGAGTCTATTTTGAGAGCAAAGCTTGACAGTTTCTCTTCAAATCTTCCTGTTTTATAGAAGACTTGTAAATTTGCTTTGATTATACCATATGTGTCGCTTTGTCAATGTGTGCTAAAGTGAGCACAGTGGAGGGATGTTGTCAGTTGGTATGTGAAAACATACAACAGCAGCGACCTATATTTAAAAAAATAAATTAGTTACACGTTTTGACTCCAATCAAGGTTTCTTCCATACAACACTTAAAAAAATCCAGGCTCCAATCAAGGTTTCTTCCATGCAACACTTAAAAAATCCAATCTCTCTTGTATAGAATATCATTAGTAGCAAATTTTTGGTGCATTTCTTGTGATGTGAAACTTGAACAATACTTTTTAAATTATGCATATAGTCCAATCTATAGTGCCTGCTTTGTTACTGTATATAAAAAGGGAGGTAGCAAAAAGCTTGAGAAGCCAGGCAGACAAACAAAGCTGGACAGATGTAAACTTGTTAAAGTTTTATTGTATAAATCTGGATAACATTCTCTAGCTGTGTTTGGTACTCGATGTTTTGAACCATAGATTCAAGTTCAGTTAAAGATTGGAGATGAAGCTAGTTCTGGGGCACAGCAGACTTTGTCATTTTACTTTTTAGTTAGATTTTTTTTAATTTCTGGGGCCTGTGTTGAAATCAGTTACAGTATGAATTGCTGAGAAATACGCATCCTTGTAAAGCAGTGCCAAATTTTTCTGGGGGGAAGAGGACAGACATCACACCCTGACTGTCTCTTTCCTGTTGGCTAAATGGAAATGGTAGAAGAAAACCAACTTAGTGCAGTTATGGCTTAATACTGCATTAAATCAGATGAGTCAGTGCTGATGCATCCCATTTATAGATAAGTTTATGGTTTTTATACATTTATGTATGTACGTGCACATACCTGTAAACACTTAAAATAGTGTTGGGTTAGATTTAAATGAGAATCAAACCTTTTTTTCCCCTCACTGCTCACTATATTTTCTCAAATGTACAAAAATACTGCACAGGAGAGATGATCTTTTTTGAGCAGACTGAACACAAGCATATGGCAGAAATTTCATGCAAGACGTGTTTCTTGTTTCAAATGAGCGTCTTAAAATTTGTGGTTGCTTATGTAGTGGAAGTGGACTTTTCTGTTGGCAAATCTTGCACAAATACTCCTTACAACCTAATAAATCAGCTAATCCTTTTTCCTTTGAGGAGGAAAGCTTGAGCTTCATTTGACAGGTTTCTTCCTGCAGTGATTTTAATTCCCATGGATGAGTTAGAAAGGCTTGGGAGATGGGGTTTGCAATGGAAATTGTTACAGACCCTTAACTGTAGTTTAGAAGCTCTGGGTTTTCTGTAATAAGAGCTTTTTGATTAGACATAATGTGGTGATATACTGTATAACAAAATAGTAGGATCTTCTTTTTATGCTCTACAGTGCTGCAAATTCCTGCCCATCTAGCCCCCGTGGTGCAGGCTCTTCAGGGTACAAAATGAGTCGTGTAATACCATCTGACCTACATTTAATGGCTGACAATTCCCAGTCAGAAAATGACAAGGAAGCATCGGGTGGAGATAGCCCAAAGGTAAACAGTGTTTGAAATCAATCCCACAAATTACATCTGAAGTGAATGTAAGACTTCTGAAAGTTTGTTTCCTAAAGTCTATGCACTAAATCATAATTTAACATTGCAGACTTTAAAACCATTTTAGAGGTTTTTTTAATTAGACATGAGATTTGTTTGTCTATTTACCTCTCTTCCTTTTGGGGGAGGGTCTGTATGTATTTTCAGTTCTGTATCTGCTTAAAGCCTATTGAACATTCTTTACTGTTGTATGTTTCTCCACATTTTTAATATTATCTTAACATTGCTATTCAGAAGAGCAAAATTGTCTTAGTTTCTTTTCTACCTCAAGATTTTGGTTGCCAAAAAATGCTTTTAATCAGTCTAATTGTGTTTTGTAACTTTTGCTTGAGGAAGTGGTGTGTGTATCTTTTTTAAGGTTATTGATGCAGACTCTTCTCTTTCTTGTGCAGGACGACTCTAAGCCACCTTACTCCTATGCACAGTTAATAGTACAAGCAATTACAATGGCACCTGATAAGCAGCTTACACTAAATGGAATTTATACGCACATAACAAAAAATTATCCATACTACAGGACAGCAGACAAGGGCTGGCAGGTAAATTTGATTTCTGGAATGTTTTTATTTTTAGTTTGAGTAATACTAGCAGCTCTAAAGGCTCGTAAGAAGTAAATTGGTGAGCCTAATAGTCCTTCATAAATAGACCTTGTCAAAGAGTGTGTTGTCTTTTTCCTAATCCTAAATTCTCCAACAAAGTAGGCAGTTTACATTATTCTGTATTTGAAACGTTGCTTTATTCATGGAATGGTATTCTCTAAACCTCTAGGGGGGATACATAGAAGCTTTTGGGAAGAAAAGTACAATTGGCACTGTAGATTTCAGTTTGCATGCACTATCTAGGAATGTAGTTGTGTTCTGTAACATCTTTGTGTAAATATCTGTATTGTTATTTTGAGATAAAATGAAGATATTAAACATTACAAGTTCAGTTTTATTGTGATCTTGACCATGCAATACAGTGAAGGAACAAGTGTGTTTTATCTTGCACTGTTATGTGCCCTTTTTTATTTAACCAGCATCATCTATTTGTGAACTTAATAGTTTCTGTATTGAGCTAGGTCAAATCCTTCAATTCTGTAGCATTAATTTCTGCTTTCTTTTCATTTTTAAAGAGACCAGTCTCAGCATTTGCCAGGATGACTAACTGAGTATGAATCAGTCTGGCATAGTCTTTCCAGATACTCATAAAGGCTCAGTGCCTTTGCTGCTGTTTTTAGTTCCAAGCAGAGGACAGAAGAGCACAGTTAGCAGGACTGGCCAGTTTGCCCCTGGAACATTCAGACTGCTCTGTCCATCATGGAGTATCAGTTTCACTTTGTTGCTGCTTAGTTCAGAGGCATGGTCTGAAGTTATTTTCAGAGAAGTAAAATTTGGAGAGCCTGGGGGAGGGGAAAAGTGAGGAAGTGTTAATACCCTACTTGCTGTACAAGTAGAAGGCTGAAGAATACACACCATCTCAGTAGAGGGATAGATTGTTAAATATTAATCACATGCTGATTTGTCATTGGGCCTATATAAAAGTTGAATCACTCTTAGAGGAATTCCAAGATTAGTGGGGAGTTGTAACCATTCCTAGCTTTGTGCTAATGGCTTGGCTAGAAAAGGAGTAAGCTGTTGTTGTGGCTAGGAAGTCTCATTTGTTTCCCTTTCACACACAAACAATGCAGAATCCTGGCTGCAGTCATACTAACAGATCTGTTTTAGCAACAAGATGCTGTTTATAAAACGTTGGAGTGCTTTTTTGCTTCCTATTCTGAAATACCTTGAACATCTGTGTATATAGTGCTTGATGGAAGCATCACGGGACCATACACGCGCATACACTGTCATGCATGGCTAAAGAACTCGGTCTTGGAACAGTGTAGGGATTTAGATGTATAATAATGCACAAAACCAAGGTGACAGACAGCAGACATAGTATGTTCTAGAATAATTAATTAGCACCTATTCATAAAAACTATTGTAAAAGCTGGAAATGAGGTGCTGTTCAGTCACTAGTCATATAAAGCAATGCTTTTACACTAACAGGTGTACCTGGTGTGAACAGCTCTACCTGTTTTGATCCATCAGGTGTTGGATTACAGTTAGGGTGACTTACACCATAGATGTTTTAAATAATATTTGGGGCTATATATGTGCACATTATTCAAAACAGAGTACATACCAAATCCCATGCCTTAGTAATTAGTATTGAGGTATTTTATCCTTTATTATATAAAGGTCTCATTTTGTTGAGGATTTGAAGACTACTTTTTGTGAACTCATTTTAGCAGGCACTTTTGGGTCTACTCTTTTATTCTAGCATATGGAGAAATAAATACAATTTGTAAACATGGTCTTGGCATATTTCTAGTTCTGTTTAAATTTTTGGCAGGGAAAACCATTTCTGGTTTCATCAGTTAGCATTTGAGAAACCCATACATGGTTATCATTGCTTTCAGTTTTCCAAGCTTGCCATCAGAGTCATGAACTCAGACACTTGAGCACGATTTGCACTTGATTTTGCAATTTTTTCCAGAAGTTTTATTAGTGTAAAGCTTTTTCTCTGTTCTTCCACTGTTCCTCCACAAGAATCTCAGTATATTTTCATGTGCTTTAGTGATGATATTTGGGTTTATTTACCTTAAAAAAAAATAGTACATGGGCAAAGCCAAGCATAGGTACAGCCACTTCAGGGTGTTAGCAGTCTCTGATCAAAGTGTATGTTACAGCAAAGTGAGGATAAAAGTGATGTGCAAACCAGAGTGCAGTAATGATGGTCTCACTGAGGAGCTGTTTTAGGACCTACTGTCATTTGCTGCTTTTCTAGATACACTAAATCCTTGGCTCCTTTATTGAGACAGGCTGGACTGTGGGTGAACTCCCAACAATCTAGCTGGAACTTGTGAAATTTAACCTTTTCTTTCTGTATTGTGGAAGAGTAACAGGATTATCATACAAGATCAGAACCAGTATATTCTGTATTTTACTGGCCCTCCTACAATTGACTGCATTTTCTTTGACACCTGGGGAAGGGTGGTGTGTGAAGACTGACAATTTTTTGTTTGGTTTTTTTTTTTTCTTTTTTACACTGCATTATTCTCAAGTATTTGTAGCATTGCAACAGTTTGTTGCAATCACCATGTTTCTCATTAGATAGTTAAATGGAATTCCTGTTATTGCCTCTTTAGCATACTTGGTTTTTAATTGTTGGGAAAGATTTGAAAAATGCACGAGTCCTTTCAGGTTTCTGGCACTGCCTTTGTAGTAGTGCTCTTGAGTTCTGTTGAATTAAGGAATTAAAGAGCTGAACCCCGAGTCTCCTATGGTACGAACTGCTGCAGTAGGCCACATTCTGACTTGGAAAAGTTATATGAATTCTACATATTTTTTTATGTTCCATAGAATTCAATACGCCACAATCTCTCTCTGAATCGTTATTTCATCAAAGTACCACGTTCCCAGGAAGAACCAGGCAAAGGCTCATTCTGGAGGATAGACCCTGCCTCTGAAAGCAAATTAATAGAGCAGGCTTTTAGGAAAAGGCGGCCTAGGGGAGTACCTTGCTTTAGAACCCCTCTGGGACCACTCTCTTCTAGGTAAGGAAAAACAGATGAACAAAAAGACTATGGCTGTTGTTTAATCTTCAGGCTGATACAGACTTGATAGTTTTGGATACAGTCACAAGTTAGTAATTTAATTTCATCCAGACTCAGTGTTTAAATTCTGTATCATTTACTAGGAGGCTGCCCCATACACTAGGCTTGTTTTTATTTCATGTTTTTAGTGTTAAAGAACTGATTCAGTTTGCATAACTATCAGATTGTTAATGTAAGCAAGCCTTGCTGTATCTTTTGGGTTTGTTTGGGGTTTTTTTCAGAACTATGATTTTAATTTCTAACTACCATCTACTGCATTTTAAACTGTTTGCAAAGGAAATTGCCCAATACCAGCTACCATTTTACTGAATTTAGAGATGACAATTATGTATTTAGTTCTATAATGTTCAAGCAGAATTAATGATGGGGAAATAGGTGGGTTTAAATTATTCCCTCTGTAAAGTTATGGCCTTTCTGCTGGTGCAGATCTTTTATTACTTGTCCTGTAGACTGAGATTTGCTCATCATTCTTCTCCACCAGAAGAAACGTTCAAGTTTCACAGATTGTTTACAGAGTCTCTCTAAGAAGGAATCCAGCCACCACTTCTCCATTAACTGTACCTGAAGTTTGCTTTTAAATTCTGTCCCTGTTTAACAAAAGCTTTGTAAAAGATCATCAGAAGTGCTTTGGGTTGTAACTGCACTTGCCAGAAGGCAGAGGTGCCCTCCTGTGGGCAGTGCAAGTTACGGTCTCTTAGAGGAAGGTCACTGGCTTGCACAGTTCAGAAGTTAAAACACATAAGCTGCTGCTTTCATTTTTAAATACAGAAGTGCCCCAGCTTCTCCTAATCATTCTGGAGTGTTGTCTGCGCACTCCAGTGGAGTCCAGACCCCCGAGAGTCTGTCCAGGGAAGGATCTCCAGTCCCAATGGAACCTGAGCCCAGTGCTATCCAGCCAAAACTAGCGGTAATACAAGAAGCGCGATTTGCACAGAGTGCCCCAGGTGAGGAGTCCTGACAAGAAGCCTTTGGGTGTTGGAGGTGGGAGAGGGCTGACATGTAAATATTACCAAGACTTCACATAGACAGCAAAAAAAAGGTAAATATTTAACCTCCTTAACATTTAGAGTCACTCTTTGCTAAACATGTGAATGTGGCAGGTAAATTCTGCTTGCTTGCGTATGGAATGTTATCTGTGTGCTGGGCCAGCACCTTGATCACTTTGTTACTCAGCAGAGATCCTGCTGCTGCCCTGCACTGGACCACTGTCCTGTTACAGTTGCCACTTTCCTTTCAAAACACATTCTTTCTCGTTAAGAAAAAAACAAACAAAAAATCTTTGGGTTACATGGGTTACAGAAATAAGCAAATGTCTTGCATGCATCTGTGGTCATGTCATCCTTTCAAAGGTGTGGATGAATGAATTGGAAAGTTAAAGCGAGAAGGAATAAATTTGCATTATAAGAATTTTTCTATTTAAAAAAAAAAAAAAAAGAGGCATAAAGCATGTTGGGATAAGGAGGTGTTTGTTTCATTATCTTAGCTCATGTATTTTTACCATCTATGTTCTTGGTGATACTTTGGTACTACAGAAGTGCCAGTGACCATTCCGTGGCAGAGGCAAACATGGTCCCAGGCTTTCACCAGTCTAGGAAGCTGGGAGTTTTGCCAATGCAGACATGCTCCACAAAACCTCTGAAGCATGGTCTCATCTGTGGAAAAGAGTTTTACTGAATGGGTATTAAACTTTGGTAATACAGCTTCATCTGGGGGCAGCTGGGGAGGGCTTTTGCCCATGTGGTGTATGGGTCTCACTGAGCTAACACAGCACTTGCCTTGAATGTGTGTCATAATCTTCATTGTCTGGTGTTACCTTTTGGATCATTCAGGTGTTAGTGAAGGAGGTCATTAATCCTCTGAGCCTTTAGTGTTAGGTTTAAAAGAATGACTGGCTCAAAAGAAATAATTAAGATCAGCAGCCTCATTTTTGTCTCTTTCTTGGTAGGATCACCTCTATCTAGCCAACCAGTTTTAATTACTGTACAACGGCAGCTACCACAAACTATTAAACCCGTCACCTACACTGTTGCAACTCCTGTGACCACATCAACATCCCAGCAGCCTGTAGTTCAAACAGTACATGTTGTCCACCAGATACCAGCTGTGTCAGTCACAAACGTGACTGGATTAGCACCAGCAAACACTTACACTGTAGCTGGACAGGCTGTAGTCACGCAAGCTGCAATGGTAACCCAGCCCAAGGTAGAACCTCAAGAGAATGGAGACCACAAGGAAGGAAAAGGTGAGAGCCTGTGGGGTTAGTTGTTTTGCTAGCTCTTTATAGAGAAGGATTATTATTTAAAACTTACTTCCAGATGGACTCTTGAAATGTTTGATTAAAACTGAAGATTGTGCATCGTAAGGGGAGACCTCATTGCCCTCTACAGGTACCTGAAAGGAGGTTGTGGGAAGGTGGGTGTTGGCCTCTTCTCCCAAGTGAAGAATGACAGGACCCGAGGAAATGGCCTGAAGTTGTGGCTGGGGAGGCTTAGATTGGATATTAGCAAGAATTTCTATACTGTAAGAGTATAGGCACTGGAACAGCCTGCCCAGGGAGATGGTGGAGTCACCATGCTTGAAGGTATTCAAAAGCCATGTTGGTTTGGTACTTCAGGGCATGCTCTAGTGGCCAAGGTTGGATTTTGATTTTGTTGGGTTTTTTGGGGAGTGACAGTTGGACTCGGTGACCTTAGAGGTCTTTTCCAACCATGACAATACTATGATAATTTCTCAGATATGTTGGAGCTTGTAATAAACCAGTATCCTTTTTTACTGAAGGTTGATTGAGTAAAACCAAATGGTTCTTTAACACCTTCTTGGTTTTAATGGTGTTTTATCTTCTTTTTTTTCCAGTTAAAGTGGAACCTATACCTGCTATTAGTCATGCTACAATAGGAGCTGCTAGTCGTATCATTCAGACATCTCAGACCACACCCCTACAGACAGTTACTATAGTGCAACAAGCACCTCTAGGTCAACACCAGCTACCAATAAAAACTGTAACGCAGAACGGAACGCACATAGTCCCCATCACCACTGCAATACAAGGCCAGGGCAATGCTGGTATGTACTGTCTCAAGATACTGTTTCTGTGTATGTCTTAAAACCTCCATGTGACCAGTGCTGGATTTTTGAACTCTGTTCTCTTGTCTTTCTTAGTTATACTGGAAACTAAATTCTACCAAAAAAACAATGTAGATTACAGCCTTGCAAGGGATTGTTCCCTCTTGGTTGGTTACTCTTTGTTGATGATTACCTGACCAGCTGTTTATTCATTTTGTGGTCATTATAGGGATATACTTAGTGGTGACAATCCTTCCTCCCTCTTCACATAAACAAGTTTTAAAAGACGTGCCTGTACAACAGTACCATTAAAATGGTTGCTGCTCCCCAGATGAATTGTCAAGCACCAACCAACAGGAAAACAAGGCAGAACTTGCTTGTGGGTTGGCTTTTTGAACTGTTACTTTTTATTCTGTTTTTCTTGAACCTGTACTAAAAATGACCAAAATTCTGTATGATTTTGAGATTCTTCTTGTCTGAATACCATCTTTCCCCTGTTGGACCCAGCAGTACTTTTTCATAATTTTCATATATTCACACTTGTTCACAGAATGTTCAGTTTTGTTTTGCAGGTGCATACAGCTTGTTCTAGCAGTTTCACTTTGAGATCTTGTCTGATACTGAAGTAGCTTTTTTTTTTGTCATAAAATGTTAACCAAAATAGTTTTAGGCTATCTTATATCAGTTCATCACCTGCATTTCTTCTCTAGAGTCTTTATAATGGAATGAATTATCTTCCTTGTTTCCATTTTACTCTTCTTCCATTACTGACATTTATAGGTCAGTGTTCTCTCTGCTTCCACTTCATTTCCAGCTTAAGTAAAGCAAAAGCAATCACTGTCAGACTTCATAGGAGCTTTTTTTTGTCAGAAGGGGTGTGTGAATTGAGCCAAGAGTCACGAGAAATACACTGAAAAGTTATTTTATAAAGGAAAAAATCATTATTTTTGTCTTTTTATAAGATTTTGAAAACTCAACTGATTTCAGCACATTTTCATGAGTGGGGAAGCCTCATGGGTGCTGGGTGTGTTTAAGGAACGTGGCTGAGTGTAGGAGTAGAATTGTGGTGCTTCTCACTCTGTCACTGTGTGGGACCTGGGTCTGCTTGCAGTGTTGGGGATGTTCCCTCTGAGGTTCCTCAGCTTAAATACCTCATGAGATGTTAACATTATGAATAGCAAGTGAGGTGTGTTCCCATCCTGGTCTTTCTGTTAATCCCAAAGCAGCCAGAAACCAGGTAATTCTCAGGCAAAGCGTCTGAAGGAGGAGCTAGGGCTCCAGAAATAGGATTTGTTTGCACGTGTTCACAAACACAGACATCTCCATAGGTCTGTGTGCACACACACATTTGTAAGTGTATGTGTTTGCCTTTGGAGAAAGATGACTTGTGCAATCTGAAATCCAAGAAATCCAGAGAAGCTTCTGTGCTTCTAATATTATCTGTTTGTAGTGATGAGGTACTTTCAAATCTTACTCTCAGCAGAACAGTTCAGCAGTGCTTTTTACTGCCTGTCAGTCTGAGTGAAAGCTGTGATGCCCAAAATAAATTCAGGTCTCCTATTGCAGAATGTCATGATGTAGCTCAATACTCTTTTCTTTCAACTTTCAGTGTAGATTTCAAACATCATTGTTCTTTTGTGTATTTATACTTCCATGTATCAGGGTGGCTGCAGCCAGCAAGTCTTTCTATGAAGCAGACCCTGGAGTGAGTAGTGCAGTCATAGTCTTCATGCATATTTGAATGAGGGGTAAACTTGTTTTCATTTAAGCAACAATAAATTAGCAGTGAGGCATTTTATTCAGCCCTATCTGTGGCATCTAGTCAGAAATTGCTTTTTGCATCAGATACATATTTTCTGAACTTTTGTTTTACCAGAAAATACAAAGTGCAAAACAGTTTGGTTACATGCAGACGGTTCCAGGTATTTTCTGGGATAGTTTACTAAGAAAAAATGCAACAAGTTTAATAAATAAGAATTCCTTATGGACTTCACATTTAAGCTCTGCTAGCAGGGAATGCTGTAATAATGTCAGCAAGTGGTACTGCTGAAGAAAAGGAGCTTGTGTGTAAAAAAGCAGGTGGTTTGATAATGTTTAGACAATTTTTTTTATGAAATACAATTAGCAAGCAAATATATAATTAGTATTTTGCATTTGAATAGTTGGTTTAGTTAAGTCAGCATCGATACTGAGAAACGGGCTGCTAACAAGTACAGGGAAGGAATCTTTGGGTGTCTCAGAAGGTTTAAAGGGCTGCATCCATCCATTAATGATGACCTATAGTCTCATTTCCATGGAATGAAAGAGTAAAATGTTGGATAGAACATTTGAACTGTATACATTTCTGTTGCTCTTATTCAGTTGTGCACTTAAATCTAATCAAATGGGTCAGTTCTCAACACTGCTGCTTGTTAAAGCACTATCTTTTCCTTGCCTTGTGGGAACGTGGCTCATTCTCTGTCAAAGGGGGGGATTAGTGCTTGAGTTGTGTGCTCCTCAGGACTTCTTAAATACCTTGTAGCCACAGCTGAGTGTGACTTGGCAGTGCTCCCCTTCCCAGCCAGGTCACACCTTCTGCAGTGATCCATGGTCATGGCCAGAACCGGCTGAAGGCAGATTTTGAATTCACTTCCCAGTTGTGTTACAAATCACAGTGTGGTTTAATCCCCCTGTCTTCAGCTCCCCTTTGACAAAATGGAGATACTTCCCCATTCTCCCACCTTTGTCCAAATCTGCACGAAGTTCAGTCGTTTGTGAAAACGACCTTCAGGTGTGCACAGAGACTAAACAGTTTGACCTGAGCTTTCAGCGGGGATTGCTAATACCCTAGGCAGTACCCATACGTCCTTTGGATGCAAATGCAGTTTGCTTTTGGTATCATCTGTTTTGACAAGGATGCTGAAGTTTTTATTATCTCTTTCCAGCTGCTGCAAGTCCTTTGCATATGTTAGCAACCCATGCGTCCGCATCGGCGTCGCTCCCAACCAAGCGCCAGAACGGAGACCAGTCAGAACAGCAGGAACTCAAACGTATCAAAACAGAAGATGGAGAGAGCATAGTCATAGCTGTTAACGTGGACACCCCATCTGTGGCAGTGAGTGATAAAGGCAGCCAGAACTAGAAACTTAGAGGAGTTGTTTTTTTAAAAAAAAAAACAAACAAACATACAAGCAAACTCCATGGTGCCAAAAGGAGACACTTAAATATAACACCTAAAATGTTGGAACATGTTCTCACGCAGTGGGGAAAGGGGCCCTGTGATCAGACTTCAACTTTCAGCACTGAAAAAACAAAAACAACAAAACCAACCCAACACAGGTGGCCTTAAAACTCGGTAATTTAAAGTCAAACTGCAAAACATCTTGTTCCAGAGGCTGTGACCCCCGCTCCTCCCTGCCCCCTTACTGAACTGTGAACACTGAGAAATACAGTGTTGGGGAGGGCTGCAGCTTTAAAAAAAATCTCTATCAGATTATTTTAAGGACTGAGTATCTCAGTGTAACGGCAGCATGATAAGCGCTTAGTGTGAACTGGTTTCAAACGATTGTATATTCCTTAAAGGGAACAGAGGCAAGGAGCCATTTCCTACATCTTGGCAGCTAGCCTTTCATAATGACCTACCCGATGCAGTTGTTGGTAGATAATGCAGTATTTTGTTGTTCACATGTGGAATTTAGGAATTTTTGAGGTGTATTTTCATTTCTTTGCAAAATAATATGGGGTCTTTGACATTTCAAATCACTCCATTTCTACTCCGGAAACTTTGGAATCACACAATACTTTTCATGTGAAATTTTGTTTGGTAAAAAACTGAATGTAGGGTTTTTTTAACCAATGGAATGATTTACTTTTGTCTGTCCTGTTAAAGTTCAGATAAAGCTACTTTATTACATCTGCAAATTTTCATATTTTAGCAGTTGCCTGATAAATTTAATCAAATTTTATTACCATGTGTAGTGATCAAATGCTTCTTTGGGCTTGCATGTAACTGATTAGAAATTACAATGTAAATGAGCCGTTAACTGACGTAAAGAACTGCTATGAATTTGACCAGAGCTGCACTTATCTGTTTCTCTTTCTGCTACCTTTTGCTGTTTGTTACTTTGTGTTGACTTTGACTGTCCCTGGCATATTTTTCCAGTCTAAAGTAAAACGAGAGTCTCGCTTAATATTGTGTATGTTTAAGATAACAGACTGTTCTTCATTTAGAAAGATGAAATTCTTTATCACAAGTCCTTTTAAAAAGAGAGTAAAATTATCTTGTCAGAGGTATATTCAATATTTTTAAGCTTAAGCACCCATCAGTAGGAATTAATCTGACCAGTTTCTCCATAACACTTTTGATGTCATACACTGACCTTTTGGGGTCTCCATGCAGAGTAGCTGTTGTGGTTTTCTAACAGTGGCTACTATATTATAATAATATTTTTCTTTTTTAAAGTGTGTGTTCTGCAGTTGAACATTTTAAAATGTATTGGTAATTTCTCACTTTTATTGTGGTAATAGATTCCACTTTACATTTCAAAATTAAATTGAAACGTAAGGCTGCTGTTCAGTCTTCAATTCACATGATGTCTTATTTCCTCATGCAGTAAGGTGAGTGAAAGCTAGATAGTTGGCTTAATTTGAACCTGATTTTTGTCATTTTCTGTAATAGTGATGCATTATTTATATTTCCTTTCACACTACGAAAGGAAACACTGTATTTTCATGATGGACTGAACAGTTGTGAGTGGTTTATTTAGGCAGCTTTTTGGGAACTATTTACCTAAAGACCAAATATGAGAAATCTGTACAAGTTTTGTGTTCATCCACAAAATGGAACTGTTACAATGTCTCTGCAGATAATACATATTAAAAAAACTATGAAAAAAACCCAACAACTCTACACAAGCTGAATTTATAACAGGCATTTAAAAAAAAAAAGCTTAACCTGAAAAGAAACATTTCTGTAAAATTGCAACATTTTCTTTAGAGGTTTTAAAAATAAACAAAGTAAAGTTTTAACATACTTTTTTTAAGAAAAAATATCCAGTACTAGTAATTTAATTTGATGTTGAATGAATTGACTAGAATGTGGTTTATTTTCAGAAGTGAGAATCTGTTCACAACTAGGGCTAGGTGAATAATAGTGTATAAGATTTTTTAAATAAAATTAAATTTTATTCAGCAAATTAACTAAGTTGAAATTACTCAACAAGTGTGTTTGGAATATTTATGTACACTTTGGGGTGATTAATCCAATTTATGTTGGCAGTGCCACAGGAAGTATTATCAGACCAAAGAAGCCCAGGTGATCCTTGCTATTGGTTAATGGTAAAACTGGACGTGGTGTCCTCCTGGGTGGAGGGGGAGGTGAGGATGTGGTCTGGGTCCTGCTTCTGTAACGTGGTCGTGTTTTACACTTTGTGGTGCATGTGGAATCTGGCACAGGAACGATGGATAAAGCCTTTGGAAAAGCTGTGCAATGTGAGAAACTGCTCAGGGTCTTACAGAAAAATAACACATGCTTATCCCTGCTTCTAGGGATGCTGAAGGATGCTCATCTGGGATAATCTGCAGTGCTTTTGACTAATGCAGACATCTCTCTGTTTTATGTGTCAAGCCATAGAAAGCTGGGTCGTTAGGTTGTTGAAACAAAACTGGTCCTGGTTTGTCTAGTGCAGTGCTGGGTACCAAAGGCTGAAGGAGGCTCCTGTCCCTCTGCTGCTCTTCAGGTGATTGATGCTCATCACCTTTCTGAAATTGCTCTTACGTGTTGATCATCCCCGACTCCCAGGGTCAAGATGACTTTTGCAAATGGAAAATTTATTCAGGTGATTCATGTATATAGAGATTTGACCTCACTTCAGGAGTTGATGAAACCTTTTTTCCTTTCATGTTTCATGGTGTGTGGTATTAATTCCTTTTTGTGCTCCTTCTAGGCTGCCTGATCAGTGTTTCTTCTGTTAAGAGTCAACTTTTGTGTAATCTTTAAAATGACTGGAAAGGACTCTGCATTCCAACACACGGAAGACCCAAGTGTGCATTTGCTTCTAGTGACAGAGGTGTCCCCCTCCAGTGCAGCCTGCTCTGCCTTCCTCCCACCAGGTCCCCCTCCCTGCGCTCACGGGTTGATCCATCCAGCTGCATGGGGCAGGTTTGGGAAGGTGGCAGCACAGTCTCCTGGGCAGTAGGATATTCCTGGCTCCAGACAGGACTGTTGTTCTGTGCCAGCAGCTGCTGGGTGTCCTGTGATCCAGCAAAGAAATAGTGAGGCTTTGGAACCCAGAGGGGACTGGGCTACTGGGCTGGAGGGGCAGGAAATGGTCCTCCTGTTTGATCGGTGGGTCAGTCTCAGTGCTGAGCTGCTGCCTCCCCCTGCCCACAGGGCAGCATATTTGCCCCAGTGGTACCAGTCTGTATTATGCTGGGTTTAATGATGCTGATTTAGGTAAATCCCTGTACCAGACTAACCCCAAGAGATAGATACAAAAGCACTTCTGCTTCATAAACCATTTCACAGTATGGATTGCTGTACAGGGCAGAACTGGGAAAACTTTGCCTTCACTTGCATGGTTGTTACAATACAGGTTCTTTTTTTAATGTGGTGGGGTTTTTTATAACATGGAGTGGAACTTGGTTTCAACAATTGGTGTTGAGATCTAGGTTTTGTATCTTGATATGATTTCCCCCAGGAGGTAAATTTTGAGTGGTTGGTAGTTATTAATACAAGTTGAGTTGTGATTTTATATAGCATGTGGTTTTATATCATTGTGATTTTATATATAAATGTGTGTGTGTGATAGATACTTACATAAAAGCACATATTTTGTGTATATATATAATTTACACTAAATGGAGTGCTGCTTTTTCTGCTAACCTGATGGACCACTCTCTATACCCATGTCTTAACTATCTAGTTTAACATTCTTACTAAGAACCCTCTGTTGTGTCTGACACAAAATTAACTGATGAATGGAATGAACATCTGAAGTTGGTATGTGCATGGGTTGCTTTTAACCAGCAGGTTCTTGATCTTACTTGTGGAGTGGCAGATGAAAACAAGCTTTACTCCTGCTTCTACTTGTTTTCTGTCTTATCAAGCCAGACTTTAAGAATTCTTTTTTGTATCAAAGAATCTCGTTCTTCTAGAAGCTGTGTTAGCATTTGGGGATGATTTCAGGTACGTAGCCAGGGATTAGTTCAATGATTTGACTTTCAAAACATTGGCCACATTTAGCATGGACAGCCACAGTAACCAATAATTGTTTTTAAAAATAAGTTTAATGAGATAGGCACTTTCTGCAATAATTTTAATTAACGGTGGTTTGGTTTCTGATCCTCTTGATTCGGTATGTTCTTTTTGTTTCTCATCAGCATTGGGGAAATGCTTGTCTGGAGCACTAGAAAAACTGACCAGAGTGCTGGGTCTGGTTTTCCTGTCAGTACATGAGCTGGGGAGAAATCAAAGGAGGGCTTTGGACCCCCTGTAAAGGACTGCAGCAGCTAGAGCTGAAAGAGCATCACCTGTTCCTTTAACAAAAGAACGGACCATTCTGTGAAATTCCACAGGCTCTCCTGCAGACCAGAGCAGTCACTGCCTTGTTAAGGCAAATATAAACTTTGGGGAAGAGGGGGGAAAAAAATGCAGTAAAATGAGTGCATTGAACTGGTCTGCGAGAGGCAGGTTGGGCAGCCTGTGCTTCCGGGGCTGTGGCCTTAGGGTCCAGGTTGGCAGTGTCTGACACAGCCCCTGGGCCTGCAGATGGAAGCACCAGGCTTGTTTCTCTTACTTTTTAACTTATTAATCTTGAGTTTTTTACTTTAATGTGACTACTTAAAGGTTCTAACAGATATACTTGCATTCCTTGGCTTCTGCTGGCAAGTACCTGGAATTACCACTGGATTTATTGCACTGGCTAATCTTGGTTTTCCTTTCTGGATTTAGAGCTGTGACCACCCACGAGTGCTGTGGAAATAGCAAAACAGGGAGAGAACAGGCGTAGCTATTTCTAAATACAAAATAAGTGAACAATCCATCTACCTCAGTAGCTGCTGCTGGGGGAAACACATTGTTTATCAGGAATAGTCATATTTTAGAGCTTCAGGCAGCCTGTGCCCCTGGTGGGCTCCATGCCAGGCAGCCGGGCACTGCTGAGCGGGGCTGTTCCACAGCCTCGTGTGTCTGGTGGAGTTAAGGCAACTGCTGTTGGACCTCTGGACTGTAATGCTCATCTTAAGCTAGCAACTTGTCATTTTAAAATCTGTTTAATCCCCTTTTGTCACATCAAGTGGACCTCTGACAGCTTGTTTTGCCCCCCCTTTGACTGTGCAGCTTCACATAGAGCAGGGGCGAGTTTGAAAGGTCTTTCAAAATTTGCCTTAGTGTATCATGGTCTATCAAATACTGAAAGTACTATTTATTTATTTTAAGTGACTAATTAAAGTATAATTCCATGTGATTGCAGAGGTCATGTCTGTCCCCTATCCCACTTACTGCACGTTTTGGTTGCAGTTGCCTCCATGAAGCATAACAGCAGGAAGGGATGGGGTGAAGCACCGACAGAACCTGGAGCCAGCACCAGCTGGGAAGCCAATTCTTTTACTCCATTTTTGATCCCTGTAAAATAGCCTATAGAGGTAAGGATTTGCAAGTTGTATAGGAATGTGAGATTAAATATATTTAGGGATGTATTAACAGGTCTCATTGTTAGTACAGCACTGTTGTCTTCATGAGTAGTTAATATTGTCATTCTTGTCACACTAGATCTGATGTTTCAGGGAAGTTTTATAAGTTCAGTAGAGTTTTAATGAACCAAGAAACTTGCTCATAGTCTCTCTGGTGAAGTACAGAATAACTTTACTAGGGGGATGGTGCTTCAGCAGATTAAGTTGTATATAAAACCTTCCAAACAGTACAGAAGGCCTGATGTTTTCACATCGTTTCCTTGCTATTTAAAGTGAGTGCAGGTGACTGGATCATAAACAGCTTCCATCTGCACCAGATAGAGGATTTAAATCATCCTTGGAGAATGGTTTGTGATGCTTTCCTGCCCTGTACTGCTCCAGGGAGATGGCAGTTGCCAGTTGGTCATTCTACTGGTGCAGCTGTTAACAGGTAAGAAGCTTCAGAGCAGAAGCTGTGGGTGAAAGGTGGGGAAACAGGGCTGAACAAGAACGGGTCTGCACTGGAAGTGGGACTTATTTGTGTATAAATACCAAGGTACATGTTCCAGGCAGTAATTCCTGTGCTGCCAGTCCTGTGTTTCCTTGGCATGGGCAGCATGATTCTATCTCTGTCCTTCCAACACTCACCACTATTCCCTCAGCTACATTTGTATTCCCCAAAACCTATGGCAAGAGGAGCTCTGGCTGTGAGCCTCAGTGAATACAGCAAAATTAGTCACTTTTATTTAAAAGAAATAACATATTACAAATAAGTGTGCAAAACAATTTCTGTGATTAAATACACATAAAAGCAACATGCAACCTTGACATCAAAATCTGCAAAGTTAGTCCTTAGTATGTTATGTGACACAAAAAGAAACTTGTCAAATTTAGAGTTTGCAGCTAAATAATCTCAGAGTGAACTTGCATCTCAGATTTGAAGCATCCATGAAATTAAATTCCAGAAGAGCCAGACCTCCCTCCCCCAAGTTTTTAGTGCTATGAAAGGAGAGCTTGTGTCTATTTCAGTTTCTAGTTTAGTATCTTGTGCCTTAGTTCAGCAGTAAATATTAATTGCCATGTCACAATTTCAGGGAGTTTACAAGTCAGTTGGTTTAGTCTAACCTAATTGTCCCTACACCACCAGTATTTAGTATGCAACATCTCAAATTAAAAAAAAAAAACAAAAACAAACAAAACAAACAACAAAAAACCCAAAAGTTTGCAAGTTTAAAGCCATTGCAGACATATACTTCATGCCACCTAGTTCACTTAGGGTGCAAGTGGCCTGTCTAGTCCTCCAGTTAAGCAGAAGGGTTTTGGAAGCAGCCAGTACAGCTGTCACACCAGGACCCAGGGTGGTTTTCAAATCTAGAATGGCTGTTTACAGAAGGAATCACCTCTGCTCCCCTGGAAGCTCTGGCTGGTTGTTCCACACACCCAGGAGAGGTTGGCTGGGTCAGCTGGTGCCCAGATGTGCCTTCAGCCACTATGTACAGTTTGGCACCTTTGACAGAGAGTGCCCCTGCCCACAGGCCCACCCCCAGCTCAGAGGACAAGTGTGGGTCAAGCTACAGTCTGACTAGATGCTTGTCACCTTTTCTCCTCTGTTACTTTCAGATGTGCTCAGGGGAGGGGCAAAGGCTGTACTCCTGCTCCTAGCAAAGCTGCTGAAGTTTTATTGGCATGATCCATACTATTCCCCCCCCCACTTCCAGCCATTCAGTGGAAGTAAAGTAATGCCTAAAATCTTCTGTTTTCACATCCCTTTTTCTAAGGCTGGTTGTGCCCTGGTACAGCCCCTGCAGATCGTTCTGTGGGGCAGGCACTCGTGTTTCAATCTCAAGTCATTTCACAGGTTAAAGAGAAACCCAATAGGCACAAGCTTGTTGAAAAGCCACATCTTGAAAACTTGAGTTGATGACAGTAACCCAAAGAGATTTTAATGATGAATACTTGCAGAAATGGGAATAAACATATGTAGTCCACTACTTCAGAGCTTGTTCTGATAATGGTGGGCCAGGCTTCTCAGTGAGGTCTGCTAAACTTGATCAGTATTGGACATTCATATACTGTCCTTCCCAAGCTGTGGAATGGCCAAGGCAGTGCTAAGCCCCCTGCTCTCCCATCAGAGCTTGTCATCTGTCATTTCTAGAAACTGAGCATAGACGTCCCTTGAGCACTCCCCTTTTTGGTTGAATAAGAACTTGTAGTAGCTGCCATCTGCACATATTGCTGGAACAAAAAAAGAGCTGTGTTAAGTTCAACTGTTCAGAGGTTCCTCTCCTTCAGCTCTAGCTTAAACTGACCTTTCAGGCTGTAGGAGATACAGAGAGGGGGCTGGAGGAACCTGAGCTCAGTCCATCCCCATGCACTGTCAGCCCAGCGCTGCACCCAGGCTTGTCTGTACACCCTGCCCCTCAGTGCTGAGCAGGGATCACTGCTGTGCTCAGCTGGCAGGAACATGCAGCCCTCCCTCAGCATTCCCTCCCTCCCCTCAGCATTCCCTTCAGCTTAAAGCCCCTGTAGCTCAAAAGCTGGTTCCCCACCCAGGACCTGGGGAAGCCTCCAGTTCTCACCTATGACAGCATTTGGCTCTGTTCCAAAGGCACAAATGCATGGAGAGCCTGAGGGAACCTGAAATTTGGAAAAACTCCATTTGGAGCTGAAGTATTTGTGGAGAAAGCTGGCAGAGGCCAAACTGAAAAGAGAAAAAAAACAAAAACAAAACAGCCAAAACATAACAACTTAGTAAGGTGTTGACTAGAGCTGATTTAGAACTGCTGGCACGTATGAACACGTTGCAGGGTTCACAGTCACAGCTATTTTTGACTGGCTTTTACTTTCTTCTAGGATTAGGTAAGAGGTGGGATTCCCCTTCTAGAGAAGGGAGACCCTACAACTGCCTTTCTGGCTTTTATGCTTTTAAGTGTCTGAAAAAAACAGCCAAAGGGATTGTTTATAGTAGAGACTGCTTTATGAGAAGTGTCCACAAAGTGCATTCATGCTAAGAGAGACACTAAAAATAACACCCAACTTCCTGCTGGAACCCTGCAGCTCCACAAAGGGCAGCAGAAACCTGGCAGCTGCTGTTAAGTTCTAGATCTGCAACTTCACTCAGGCACAGGAGATTAACTTTATACCTCCATTTGCTTGACAAGACTGTTACTGTTGTGTGTGTGTATATATATATAAAATATATAAAAAATGTCTTGGTGCATACCTTGCCAGCTGTTAAAAGGGCAACTCCCCTCCCCCTGTAATGGCTTCAATCCTACCTTGACTGTTTATTTCTTTTAGGGTCTTCTGCAGCAAAGATGTGAACTGTGCCGTGGTCGCTGGACACGCAGATGAGGGAAGCATCCTGATTGAAGTTAATACTGCAGAGAGCACAGACAGTTGTAGTATCTGCTGGAACACACCCACAGCTCCTGCTGTACAGCTCCTCCAGCCTGGCCAGCAAGGCTGTAACAGCTTCTCTGCTGGAGAAGCTGGGACTCCAGCCCTGATATGACACTATTTCTGCCACTTCTGCTGGAAGAAAATGCACCCCCTCTGCTCTGAGGAGCAGGCAGGTACTGGGTGGAATGTGCAGCACTCCTGCCCCAGCCTGGTGCTCAGCAGAAGAATGGAAGTTTCCAGCAGTGGATTAGTCAGACCCCTGCCTTGGGCAGCACTGTCTTGTAATAACCACTCTGCTCACCCTAGGCACTCACCTGAGTCTCTCTGGGAGGTGTTAAACTGCCTCACCCTGTTCCCTGTATTTTGGTGAAGCTGAAGGTACCCCCCAGGTGCAGAGAATGGGCCTGGCAGGAGATGCAGTTCTGCCCCAGGCCCTGTAACCTGTGCTGGGCTCCACTCAGCTGCCAGTGACTGCTCTCCTTGCCAGCGGGGAGGGAGCAGCACCTGCCCCAGGCCCTGGGGCTGCCAGGACAGGTCTGCCCTGTGCCCCTGGCAGCTCAACCCTCTTCTCTCTGAAGGGGACTGGGGTGCCCCTCCCAAGGCTGCCTCAGCACCCAAACAAAGACAAAGCAGAAGCAACCAAACATACCAGTATATATTGGCTGCCTGTGATCCTCTTCGTAGCTCCTGGATTAAATGCCCTGATGAAGTATCAAATATTCTTATGAGGGTCCCCTTGAAAAGGAATCAAGCTTTATATTAGGAAAGACAGAAGATACTCTACAGCTGTGCATGCACCCCAAAATTCTGGCTGATCAGCATATGCCCTTACACACCACTGGGTTTTTTATCTCAGTAGATGTGAGAAAAACTAATTTAATTATTTTTGGGAAGACTACTGTTAAGCAGTTAAGTTTCAGCCCAGTTACATTCTAAAGCACTAGTGAATCAGTCTGCAAATATCAGGACAGGTGTGTACAGCCCTTCATGCCCAGGAGCTGCAGATTATTTATTTCTTCTTCCCCATAGTATTGTTTTTTATTGCTACCATGTTGGGGTTTTTCCCCACTTAAGTCTAAGCAGGCTGTGAATGGTCTTGCCTTACAATTAGTTCAGCTGAAGTCCCTGACAAGAGTTAGTTACCTGTCACATGCTGATCATCTGTACAGACCCGTAGCTGAGTCAGGCTACAGACAATACTGAACTGGAAAACTGCTTCATCCAGAGGGAACTAAGCCTGACACCAGAGATGCAAAACAAGTCCATGTGTCCCAGAGAAAGCCACCAACAGGTCAAGTGCTTTCCTCTGCTGAAGGGTGGACATTGTCACCTACCTGTTACACACCTGCTTAACAAATGCACCTCTGTGGTCACACACCACTAAGGAACAGGGCCCAGCAGAAAGACATTCAGATAAATGTCAGATTAGCTCTGGTTTCATGCACAAGCCTGAGATCTCTGCTTACAGGGTGGCAGTTTGCCCATCCCAGCATTTTAGTTTGAAAAAGCTCAACTTTTTCCTTATACAAAAAGAGGAATGTTTCAGTACAAACTCAGCAGATCATTATTCTATTTAGCAATGGAGTTGGCAGTTTTAAGAGCTCTGTTTGGAGGATGTACAGTAATTAAGCTCAGTTAAGAAAGACTAAGGCTGCATTTTCTAAGCTTTTTGAGCTATAGGCTGTGCAGCAGAAACTATTCTAAACAGACACCTGGATTAACTTAGTTTGTCTTTTCAGTGGAGGGGAAGGAGGTAGCAAGCACTCAACTTCCCTCAGGTAGATGGGTACATCTACCTACCTGATGTTCCTCTGGACACTTTGGAACCACTCATCCTTAGGGATATGAAGCTCACTAGCAGACCTCCCTGCAGGTTCCATGAAGGCAGCTCCAGGACTTGCTTTGCATTCTTTCTACATCTCTGCATCAGCCCAAGGGCTTGGCACCATGCAGTGACCTCAGGTTTCTGTCAGTGCTGGGCATTCTTCAGCCCAGGGTAACATAGGACTGCACACAATTTAGTACATATTCCAAGAGTCATTTCATGTTTCACACTGTATGAAAACATCTGCAGAGTGTGCACAAGCTAAACAGGCAATGCATTTCCCTCCTGGTCTGCCATAGGAGGGAAGCCAGACCAGAACCAAGTCCTCCAGTACTACAGACCAACTGGCAAGTAGTTCTTTAGCCAGTGGTTTTACAGTTAATTTATGCAGAAAATAATAAAGGTTAAATAATGCAAATAAGCTCCCCCCTCTTAATTCTAAAATTAATTGTATTTATTGAAGAACATGAGACACCTGAACTGCTTGGGGCAGATCTCATTCAGGTGTCACTGGGGAGTCACTGCTACAGTCAGCTAAAACCAATACCACCTCAGGCATGGCACTTGGATTCCTGTTTGGGATCCTAAAGGAGCAGTGCAGGAAAAAGACCGGGAATGCATATTTCAGTCACAAATTTTCCAGTTATTTCTGTCTTTCCTACAAAGGGATGTGATTTCCTATTCCAGAAGGAGTTACTACACTAGAAGGCATAGTCAGAGGTAGGAGGGGATTGTTCCTACTTTTTCTGATGCTGTTGCAATTCTTGTTCCCTGCAGGTTTAAAGCGATACAGCTCAAGACTCCTTCATGTGCTGGGATGTCAACAGGAGCCTTTTCTGTATTGGCAAGATCCACTATCTGCACGTGCCCAGTGTGAGTTCCAGGAAATGCAAGAAGGGAATTATTACTATTAGGACAAAGGACACAGAGACCTAAAAGACAAAAAGAAAAAGAATAACCGTGTAGTTCCCGTAAACTAATAAAGCTTTTAAAAATACCCATAATTTCAAAATAAACAAACATACATGTAGTAAATCACACTTTCATTTTAATGGCTATTGCAGGATCCCAAAACATGATCAATCCATAAGTGCAGAGCACAGAGGAGTAGGGGAGCAGCACAATTTTAACTTGCTCTCATCACTTTATTTCAAAGTAATCTAGTTGTGGTTATCCAAAACCTGGATCTTTTCGGAGATCAGCTCCATCAGGCTCTTACAGCAAAGCTATTTAAAAAGAAAATAAAAAAAAAAAGTCTCCTTAGCAGCTCCAAAAGGGTAAGAGTTTATTATAGTAGGTGATAGTCTAGTTTCTGCTAACTAGAGTAAACCTGATCATTATTCGTTCATGTTTGAAATTGGCTTATATGGCACCTGTGCTTTTTGTTCCTGTTGTGTGCAGACTGTGTAAGGTGAATCCCATCTCTCCAGGTGTTCTACTGATACCAAGTGAATTCTTGCAAGCTCAGCCCATGGCTAGTGGAGCAATGGCTGGTACCACCAGAAACAACCTGCTTCACCTGCATCTTCCAGCAGCCTGGAGGTCAGCACACCCAGGCTGTGTTTAGGCTGTGCTGAGCACAGCCAGCAAATCCATGTTTGCTTCTTGCAGGCTTGAAAACCTCCAAGGATTAGGACTCCAAGCCTAAGGAACCTCCTGGTGGAAAAGACCTCTTCCTGACATCCAAGCTGATCCTCTCAAGATACCAAGTATGGTCAGCTCCCCTTGTTCTACTGTCTGGCACTATTAGCAAGAAGATTTTGGCTCCACTGTTTCTGTAGCTGTCCTTCCAGCAGCTATGAGGTGCCAGCTGCAGGAGCCCTTCAGCCTCCCTTCTGCACAGCCCAGCTCCCTTAGCTGGACACAGGCAGGGCCCTGGGAGCTGCAGGGCAGGACATCCCTGTGCCCACAGCAGATGCTCACACTGACACCACAGCCCTCCAGAATTTCCCTGCCTGGTTTCAGTGTGGAGCTACTGTAGCAGCAGGGTCACCTCTGCACCTCCAGGCTGTCCTTCAGACAGCACCTCCCCTGGGTACAACCTCCTGCAGGTGAACCTTCGCCAAGTCCCTCCCACACCCACCAAGACATTGCTTGGCCTGGGGCAGGGACACTTGCCTGGGCTCAGGACACCTCAACAGAAGACAAAGCCTTACCTTGCTGTTTAAAAAGAACAATATCTTTGCTAATGAGGCTCTTTCTGATACTGTAGAGAATAATCTGCTAGACAGTTCTAGCCCTATGAGCAAAAAAGGAACGATGCACTTTAAGACTTGGTGTTCATAGTTAAGCTTTCAGCACAACACACAAAAATTTACAGTTTCTTTATGGAAAAAAGCACAGAGCTCCTAGAGAAATAACATCTGTAAAATAAGTAGAGGAACAAGCTTTCCTGTGCCAAGTATTCATACATTTCAATACCATTTTCTAAACACAAAAGCATCTCCAAAGGGCATGAGTATAGTGCAGTAAGTAAACTGTTTAGTGACTTAGTAGATAAACTGATTCAGGCAGCTAAAGATAAATAGAATGTCAAGAACAGAATAAGCTTGTTTCCATCCCCAACCCACACATCCAACTAACCTTTAGGGTTGTAGCAGGTTTCAAAGACGTGCAGCTGGTGGGGATTGTGTGTGAAAGTGAAAACTTTAATCATCGAGTCCAAGACTACCACAATTCTGAAACAGACAAGAAGTTCCTGTGACTTGGGGGCGGGTAAAATAGGGACACTAGTTCAGATCTGCAAAGGCTTTCAGCTGATTTAACAGCTATATTATCTTTCCATACCACAAGAGACTTGCAGCCTTGCAAAAAACCCATGCAGCTGTGAGCCTGCAAAGCACTTTTATCCAAAGCTGTGACAGCAGAACCCCTCCACCCACCCAGACTCCAGCTGCCAAGAGATGCTCTAGAGCTCTGCTCTAATTCCCTTCACTCCTCCATAGTTGGCAGCAGCAGCCATAGGAGATCATTTCCCTGCATTAGGAGGGCAGGAAATCTTGCAGGCTTCTCACCAAAGTTTCAGATACTAGTATTGCTAGAGATGTGAACTGTTAACACCATGTGCTTGCCTCAAAAAGCCTTTAATGGCTGGTGGTGTTTATCTAGGCGTTAAAGCAAGATCTTTTTCTTTCTACAACCAGCTGGAAATGAGTAAGAACAGTGTACAAAGCCAGGCTGTGCCTTTGGAACACCTATTTTTTAACCTACCTATCTCTTCGCAGCTTAACTGCTTTGACTTCTGTAGAAAACTCTATCTCAATGACAGTCTTCTTCTTCAGGTCATCCCAGATCATGACTAGAATGGTGCAGAAATTGCATTAGAACCTCAGGGTACATCACACACCCACATCCTTTCCGTTATAACTAGTTTCAGAAGATTAACCAAGAGGAGCATCCAGTAGCTCAGCAGTTACAGGTCAGCATCCTGCTAACCAGAAGGTATTTAGCTACTATAGATCAACCCACTCTCATGCTGCAACTTGTGCAGGTTGTAGCTGGTAAACTAACCACAACAACTGACAACAAAACCACATTTTTCTAAAGAAATGAAGGGATTCTCTCAAGATTATCAAAGAAATAAAACAGCAGTCAAAGCCAACAAAAAAAAGTAGTGCATTTTCCTACAAAACTTGCCAACCAGGGACCTTTTTCCCCTCAAGCTGCTGAGCCAGATGCCTGTGCAGTTACCTGTGACAAGCACAGGTATTACCAGCAGGTCTCAGAGGCTGGTCCCTGCAGGTACCTGCCTGTTAACACTGCAACAACAGTGATGCCACTTCCTTCATCAGATGTACTTAATCCTGCCACAGCATCCCCTCCATCCAGCCTTCAAGTACCAGCCCCCAGCTCAAGGCATCTGCTCTGGGGGTTCCTGCAGCAGTTTCCCACAGGTAGCAAAGCAAACAAGATCCTTTCCTCAGGACTCACCTTTGTTAGGTGGGTACTTTGGCTTTTTTCCTCCACCTACTAGTGCCAAGTAGTTGCAACGGAACAACATTTCAACGTGGCCAACACCACCTTCTAGAAACTCTGGAAGACAAATGCATTTTATTCAGAAGCATCAGAACCTGTTAAAAAGCCATCTAATTTTTACCACTGTTACAAGAAAAGCTTGTATTATCTACCACTTTTCTCAGGCACCTGAGAAGAAGGGTATCTTCCTACCCTGCCTGACCTTAAAAAGCAGAGAATCCTCTAGGAGTGGGGGTGGCAAACAAGACATCTTGTCTGTGAGGGTGGGTTGTTTTTATTTTTGTTTGATGGATTATTTTTTTTGTGCTTGACATTAGAATTCTCTGAGATCATCAAGTCCAACCTATGACCAAGACCAACACCACCACGTCAGCCAGACCATGGCACTAAGTGCCTCATCCAGTCTTTCCTTAAACACCTCCAGGGATGGTGACTCCACCCGCTTCCCTGGGCAGTTCATTCCAATGTCTGATCACCCTTTCCATGAGGAAGTGCTTCCTGATATCCAACCTAAACCTCCCCTGGAGCAGTTTCAGGACAGGCCCTCTTGTCCTGTCACTGGTTGCCTGGGAGAGGAGCCCAACCCCATCTGACCACAACCTCCCTTCAGGCAGTTGAAGAGAGCGAGAAGGTCCCCCCTGAGTCTCCTCCAGGCTAAACAATCCCAGCTCCCTCAGCCTGGGAGGCTGTTCATATTGTTCATATGTAGAAAAAACAGAGCAAACATGCAGGATGAGAGGAGACCAAGCAGTATCATCAGGACAGCCTGGACATTTCTACTATCCAGAGGGTCTATCAGTATGTTTACAGTGACTCATCCTTCCCCTCACATCTCACACCTGCTGTCACTCAGTTCTGCTAATGCCACACACCTACAAAGATACCAGTGGCATTCACTGGTCATGAACCTTTTTATTTACAAGGCAATTTGTCTCTATAGACTTGGCTTTGAGGAAAAGAAGGAAAAGGCACATGTATGTAACTGAACTAGAATCTCTAGTGCTACTCTCTGGAACGTATCCAGAGCTGCTCATACAGACAGGAAGCACAGTCCAGCTCCAGAGGTGCAGGAAACAGAATGAGACAGATCAGCTGGGGCAGGCAGCTGCTCATCTGTAGTGCAAGGAAAAGGTTTCTTGTTTGGTTTTTTTTTTTCTTTTTAGGAATTTCAGCTTCCGAGGAAGTAGAATAAGATGCCATGATTATGGTGCAAGTAGAGGAACAGAGTATGAACCAGGGAATTTCATTCTAAAAGACTTTTTTTCTATTTGATGACATTTGAGTGGGGGCTTGGCTTTGTTGAGACAGCTTAGAGGGATGCTTGACATTCCACTGAGGAGATGGAACTGAGCTGTCAGGAAGAGAGGTCTGTGGCCTTCAAGGTAGATGAGCAGAGTTAAAAACAAACTTTAAAAAGAATGTCCAATCCCTCCACACACTGGCAGGTTGCACCAGGAATGGTGGGGGAAACTAATAAACCTTTTCAAAGCTAGAGGAAAAGTTTAAACTTCACAAAAACTCGAGAGAGACCTATTTTAGAAATGGATGGGAGAAGGGAGCAAAAATGTCAGGAGCAGGGAAGAAGCACGACCATAGAAAGATGTAGATATATGTACCAAGGACAGCAGGAGGAGGGAGATGCAGTTAGACATGGAGAAGCACTGCAGTACATCTGGGTGAGGAATCTGTTGGGACTCGACTACAAGACACTGCAGGTGAATGCCTGGAAAGATATTCACACTGGAGCAGTAAAAAGGTTTCATATAAGTCGTTGTGGTTTCTTCAGCAACACTTCTGACTGCCGAGTTTCCTTCCTGAACACTTGGACACTAACCCCTTGTGCACCAGATCCTCCTCTTAACTTCATTAAAGCATTTAAAGCACAGCAGCACATTCTGTTATGAAGGGGTATTATCACCATGACAAAAAGACTTAAAAGTATTTAAGAACATGCAATGTGTTCTGAATCTCTGTTAGAGCAGACACTTTAATCATTATATTTACAGCTCTGACAGGTGATGCTAGGATGGGGAACTTCATGGAACTCCTGGATATAAGAGACAAGCCAGGATTTAACAGCAAAGACTTGGTTTCATAGTGGGTTACAGGAATCAAACAGACAAACTCCATCTGGGACTACCTCAACAAGTCAGTTTAAACACACATGAAAGATGAAGATTTCTCTGTGTGCCTATTCAGCTGGTACAGCCTGACATCTTGGAATTCCCAGAAGAAAGGCAATCTGAGTTGTAGGATACACTCCACGATAATAGTCCATGCAGTAAGTCCAGAGCTACTGGCAGGGAGAGGTTTGACAAGGAATTCAACAGGATTCTAACCTGGATTCTGATCCTTTCAGCACACCATCACAGATGATAGTCCCAAAACATGTTGCTTATGGAAGAATTCAGTGTTAGGAACATAAAAGTTTGTCAGCCTTGGCCTCATCAACTCTCACAGCACTAGAAAGTGAAGGCATGCCAGGTTTCTCAGAGGAGGTGGTATTTTAAACACACTTTTCCTCTTATGAAATCCTTTCTATCACTACAGGCTGAAGTGCTGGGAAACCTGTGTAGCACAGCAGCTTTCTTCCTCCATTTGGGATTAGAATGACATGGCAAGGCTTCATTTTTGCTTATTTTCACACAGTTATGTTTCCTTTCTCATAAAAGCCCCAGTACCCATTCATACAGCTCACTAGTTATTACTGTTAAGATCTGATACTAAGTTTAGCACCTTAAGATCACCCCAGAATTTTCAAGATAATACAGAAGTTAGAGGTCTGAGCTCACAGAGGTCTCATAAGCAATACTCTAAGTACCAGAAATGTTATGTTCAGATCTCCAAGAAAAATGCAGCTGTTTTACTGCATCACCATATCATCCAAAGCACTGCACAAGAACAGAGCAACTCCCCTTGATGGCACATAACAGCACTGCAGTGGGAAACTCTCCTCCCACTGGTAAATAAACTCATCTCCTATTCAAGATCACAAATATCAGCCACAGCCAGTATCCTTCAGCCTCTGCAGGCAGGTGAGACAAATTCATCACCAGCCAGCTTTCTGCAAATTAACAGCACTAAAACATCTGACCAGGCAGTGGTGTAAGTGACAGCCCCTTTGGGACCAGCATGGACTTCCCTTTTTGAGGCTTTACTCAAGCCTTCCAGTGCTGGAATAGTGAAAGCTGAGTGAGAGCCATACAGGAAAAAAAATTAGGAGGCTGAGTTTCCAACACAGAACTTGCACAGTACAATAAGTAAGCATTTTACCTTGTTTTTCTTTTTCTTTGAGTGGATCTGCATTATAAACTCGGAATCCATTTTCCATTCCACATGCAAAGCATCCTGCAGTAAAAAGCACACACATGTACACATATATAGTAACTGTGAGATACACTCAAGAGCTAAGCAAGAGCCAGAGGGTTAGGAGAGCGCTGCTCCATACCCACATGCTGAAGCTCAAGCTGAAGACCATCTGCAAGCCCTGTTAGTGATTGCAAGTGAAAACCATTTAGAGAAGTTGTCCTCTCTGCTGGTCTTGAGGGACAGTGGAAAGTTGTCAGTATTCTTTTTCAGACAGGTGAGAAAACAATGGAAGGAAAGGAGAGCAATTCCCACCTCATCTGTATCCCATGCACTGGGGAGGGAAGGAAACCTGCGTGTTACATGTTATGGTCCAACAGTCATTATGAAGAAAAACCCCTTTCTTATTAGATCCAAATCTACACCCTGATTACAACTGTATGTGTATGTTTCCACAGAAGAGAGCTTCTCAAATACAGTTTTAAAGAATGTCCTAAAGAGAGCCTTCCAAGTCAGTCATCAATAATTACATACCAATGGCTTAAATTTAACCAGGGAATTATTAGAAACTAGATTTAAATAGTCTGGAAAAATTATTTTACTTACATTTATGTACAGAATTATGCATGTGCCTTTTTAGTGGAATCTACTAAACTACCAGTATCCTGTTCTGCTGTATTACTTCCTAATGGTAAATGCAGTCACTAATATAAAGAAATGCCAGTGTGAAGTTAGAAGCCACCATTGCAAGAGGCAGACTGACAGGGGATTAGTTGTTATACAATTTATATGCACTGTATCAAAATCCCAGTTAAGATCTTCAAGGTATTGGAACAGAGATATTCAGATTAGTCGGGTTTTGTTCTTACGCACTGCAATGATTTGAACTCTCTAAATAAAAATCAAGGAGCTATGTCTAAATGCACCCCTTCCCCAAGCTCAATACCCAAAAATCACAGGGTGGGTGGAGGGAAGGAGCAAAGGGAGTCTTCACTCTTCATTTAAGGTTCCCAAAACATTTGCTCAGAAAGTGGCAAAATGGCTCAGCCTGCAGAGACTTTTCAGGCATTACTGGCACTAATTTTTGTGCCAGTGATGGTTCTCACAACACGGGCAACTCACTGAGGTTTGGCTGCTATTAACTTAATAGAAGCTCCATTAAAAAAACTGCACATCCTCACTGCAGAGCAAATGAGCAACACTCAAGATGTGTCTTCACTGCTCCCATCTTGGTGCAAGTTGTCAGAAGAAACACAATTGGTGACATCTTTGGTTTCTGGCCATCACAACAGTAGCTGTTAGAAGGAAACTCACTACACAGAATAAAATCAACGCTCTTGCCTAACGATACAAAAACACCTGATAAACTTGATTCTGACAACAGTATTCATTTCAAAACCTCACAGTTTGGGAAAAATAATGCAGCCAGTTTGAGATTCCTTTTTAAATACTTCAAAATTTTCACTTCAGGTAGGACCCCTTTCAAAACTAAACAAAAAAAAACAACAAAAAAGTGCCAACTGAACACAAAAACCCTCACCCAAGACCCTATAGCAACAAAAAAAAACACTCACAGCCTCTGTTCTACAGACTAGTATCTTATAAGGTGTGTGTGGGGGGTGTTTGGCAGCATCCTTAGGGCTCCTTTTCACTCAACTCACACATACAAAGGAAAAATGACCACAAGATCCATCTTTGCACCATTCAAGGTAGAAAGGAAACAAATTAACCCTCTTATTTTACATATACTCACTAACAGCAGAGCCACAGACCCAATATACCAGGCTGTTCCAACAGTACGAGTCAAACAGGGAAGAAAACAGAACACCCAAATAAACTGCTCCCCAACCCAAGACACTCACAGGCACAAATCACTACAAAATCTTGGACGGGGTGAAGTTAAGCACCAAAAGTTCTTGCTTACATATGTAAACACACCTGGAGAGTGGTTAACAAGAATACAGTAATTACAGAAAGATTAGCAAACATATTGCAACAGATGCTTTTAGATTAACTAGGCTCATTTTACCTCCTCAGCACATCACTGTGGTTTGCTCTGTCAGCTGCAGACAGGAGTGTGCAGCAGGCTGCCCCTCCAGCACTGCCCTGCACAGGGAGCTCTAGACAGCAAATGACAATGGAAACATCTCTCTCTACATCAAACAACACTGTACAGGACCTGAACCAATCTGTTTCTGGCAGCTGCAATGTGTGTCCCTATAAATATTCTTCCAGTGACAGTTTTATAACACCGTATTACATTTCCAGGAGAGATGGAGCAGGATGCTGAAGCTGTTGGTTTTAAATGAGCGCTGTGAAGTTTTAGGTGTTAATATCAGCAGCTTGTAACACACCCAAATGGAGCATTCCTAATGCAACAAAATGCAGACATCACATTTCCTGTAGCACCACTACAGCTCTTCTGCAGGGCCAACCTCGTGACTAAGATGTGGGCTGCTTTCAATACCTTGACAATATCTACATTTTTAATTGGAGACAATACACCAGCACTGAGGGAATGTAACAGGGATATTCCCCAGACAGCTGATCAGTGACATGAAGTTCAGTCATGGCAACCCCTGAGCAAAACAAGGAGGAGGGGGGAATGTACAGGAAGATTACTGCTACTCATTAACTCCAGGTGACAGGAACAGCTTTGGAGTCTGGTGTTTCCCATCTGACTGATCCCAGCATTTACCAGTGGGATCACAAACTTGACAGTTCAGCTTGGAAGCTCCCATGTGTGAGAGCTGGGATGGGGCTGCCAGAACAGGGAATCCCTGCAGGGAGAGGTGGGCTTCGTCCCACAGAACATTCACATCTCACTTTAGGAAGGGACAGACATGCTGTCCAAGAGCCACTGACAGAAGGCAACTCAGATACTTAAATAATTAATTCCGACACTAGGGAAAATGGGATCTCCACAGAATTGTTGCTGTAACCTGCAGCTGGGCTTGTTCCTACAGCACAAGTACTCCTTGCCGACAGTCCCAGTAAGGTCACAGTAGGTTTTGTTTTTCTAAACCCAAAGAAAAAGGGAGGGCTAAACCAACGACTATGCTGGAAAATGCCACAAGCTGAACGGGGTGTGCTGACCGAAAGAAACCTGCAGGCTTTAGGGCCTGAGATCCAGAAACTGCAATAGTGAAGTCCAGGGAAGTGACTATGGCAGGCACAGCTTCTAGCACAGCAATTCACCTCATCCCAGCAAATTTTGTTTAAAGCCACAAGAGAGAGCACAGAATCACAGAATCCTGCTAACATTCATGGGGGGCCATCGCTGAGCATTTCAGTCTGCTGCAGAAGAACAAATGAACAAGGCAAGTGTTTCAACACCAAAACAAGCCCACACCTCAGTTTTCAAACTAGCTTTAGACTGCAACAGTGACAAAAGAGAAACCTGTCAGTACTTTACACACAGACTTTATGGCAGGGTAATTTATGATGATGTTTTGCCTGTTTGTTTCTGTAAAGCACTTCAGTGACCTTCTGCAAGCACTAGGAAAGTGCCTGAAATCAGGAGTATACCAGCTTGAAATTAAGAACCTCATGTCACAGTATTCAGCTTTAAAAGAACCGAGAACACTTTGCAATATGGGCCTTCCATTTTGTGCGTGTTACAGTCTTTCCTTGTTTTTTAATTTAAAGCCAAAAAATGGCCAAGGCACCTCACATAAAAATACAGTATCACTCAAAACAGAGCAGGAGAAGCACACCTCAGAAAACCTGCAGACATTAGCTTGTCAGTCATGGCAGCTAAGACTTGGAGAGACTTCTTAGATCATTCCTCCCATCTTTCCAGCATTATGAAATTAGCTAGTCTTAAATTACTAAGCAATTAGGTTATTGTGACAATATATGCAGACACCCACATTACTAAGCTCCAGCACTCAAGTGACACATATTTCTATTTTTGGTAGAAGCAATAAGGAAGAAGTGACCTTTTCCTCTTATCTACTCTTCTTTGAGCAGCCAAAAAACCTTTCCTTTAACCCTTCTTAGTTTAGGGCCTTCTAAAAATTGTCAGCATGCTACCAGCAGTTCAGAAATGCACAGTCCCAAGCAGGAAGGGCTCCAGGAACCTGAAAGTTAAAGTCAAACACAGTTTTTGTTCTAGTTTTTTGGTTATTCAGTTGGCTGGTCAGGCTAGGTCGGATGGGACTGGGATATTGTTAGGAATAAACTCCTCAGCTTACAGATTGCCAAGACAAATTCCTTAATACACTCTGGATGTGACATTATCAGAAAATGTTTATGTTGCATTTACTGCTACAGGATTTGGAAATGCAGCAAAGAACCCCAAGTTTTACACACTAAAATGATATTCTAAAGGTATTTTGCAGTAAAAGACAAAGAGCTCCTTACACAATTCCCTTTTATAACTCAGCCCCATCACAGGCCAAGCATCACATATTACTGCTTCATTAGAGATCCCTGCAGATTTGAAACTAAACTCATCCTCCCAATGACAGAAGTTGCAAGGCTGTCTTAGGCAAGAGTGTTATTTGTTAAGACAAGAGGATATTACAAAATTATGACCTTCTATTCCTTATTCCACAAAAAGGACACTTACTCATGAGTGGTGCTATTTTTATATTACAAAAGCAAGGCAAGACAAATGCACCTCCTTTCCAGAAAAGGCCTTCCCCTTTCTAACAAAAGGGAAAAAATCAGACAAGCATAATTCTGAAGCTTTCCAATGGTCTGTGTATCTGTACTTGTCTGCCAATGTGACCAGCAGTTCTAACCACCATTTTAAAAAGCACAAAACAGGACAAAAAAAAAAAAAAAGCTACACAACTGATTTGGTACTTGCACTGAGAAAGCAGCATTTTGTGAGTTACCTTTTCAGTGGGGGAGTTTCAAAACTACATCCCTTTAAACACGGGATTTAAGGCAGACTTTACACAACTGCACAGGGGAGGGTAGAGCCGGTTTTGAGCAGCGGAGTTTGCAGCAGGTACCAGACCCCCCTGGGGGAGGCAGAGCTATGCGAGGAGGCACTTTTAACACTCGACCCCTCTCCTCTCAGCCCAGCTCCCCCGAGGCGGGACACACACACACAAACCCACCCACCGGAGCGTTCTCCAAACGCCAGAAGGGTGAAGCCGCACAGCGCTGCCCGCACAGCCTGAGGCGGGGATTTATCTCCCGCAGCGCCCAGACCGCGGGCACCGGGAGCGAACGGGACCCCGCGCCCTGCCCGCCCGCAGCCCCAGGGCCCAGCGCGGCCACCGCGCTCCCCTCACCAGCTCC